AGTGTACCTCTGGTGCAAATTACTGACCTCTGTCATCATTTTAAGTGGGGGAACTTGCACAATCGGTGGCTGACTAAATACTTTTTTGCCCCACTGTACCTGTAGGTTAGCTAAGCATTTCACCTTGACCATTATTGTTAGTCTTAAACTATCAAGTTTGTACAGCTTACAGAAGCCAAGTTTTCAGCCAATTCTGTTCCAATCCCATGGGTAAAGATAATAAAATACATCATTTTAGTATGTAAAGCTTTAAGGTCATAGGTCATAATGATAATGATGATGAGGGCTGTTCACCAGGTTGCGGACATCAGGCAGGGTGAGCCACAGCGGGAACACGATGGGCAGCAGGAACAGATATGTCGCCTGCTTGCGCCTGGTTTCAGGCCACCCTAAAGACAATGGTTGGTTCTCCTCCTCCTCTTCTTCCTCCTTTTCTTCTTCCTCCTTGTCTTCATTGTCGCCATCATCTTCACTCTCGCTCGAGTCGCTGCTTTCTTCGTCACCACTCTCATCCTCAGCGCTGCCCTCAGAGCCCCCTGATCCACCTGCTGCTGCTGCTGCTGCCTGTAGGAGAAGGAACAGAGTGAGTCAAACCCCCTGACTCACTGCACACAACGAAGAGGGAACCACATAAAAGATGCATTAGATTTATTATTTAGTATTTAATATTTCAAGGCTGGTTTAGGTCTTGGTGAATTGATGATTTTACATGAGAAATTTTTTAGGTACATTTCACAAATTAGCTTTTTTTTTTATTATTTGAGGACTTCACTGTTATTTATGTGTATGAACTTGTGACTTTTTGTTTTGAAAGTCTTGAAACGTCCAGTCTTGGATGAGTCTACTTCTGCTACCAGTCTACTACTGGTTTATTTTCTAATGAGATTGAGCAATGGAGACCTTTCACCAGCTGATGGTACTGACAGATCTATCTCCTGAGCACAACAGTCCTGGAGGATAAGACAGGGTTTCAGCTCTGGAGCTCTTCCAGTGATCATCATGGCAAATGTGAGCTCACAGTTGATGTGTATCCTGGAGTGCTGCAGCAAGATATTGACACACTCACATTTTCCAGACCCCACTGTGACCGTACATGGTTTCAGTACTTTTGGGCGACAGAGACGTTACTCTGAGTGGTAACAAGAAATGTGAAGGGACTGCACCAGTTACAGCAGCATAATCCTGGAATTTGTTACAGAGAAGGAACATATCCCTATATTGTCAGAGCTTTACTTATTAAGCCCCCCTTATTATCTTAGCTCTTCACTTTTTTCTTCTATTTAAATTAGCTCTATTTTTATTTTGTGTCTTTTCTTTTTACCTTTGTGAGCTATTTTGCTTTGTGATATTGTATTTACTTCACTGAGCGAGGTTCTTTTAGTTTGTAGTGTTAGTTTGCTTATAACACAGTAATTTCCCAACTTTTAGGATAGATTAAGTATATCTTACTTTGTTATTTGTTAATATCTTACTATAATACTTTGTTAATATTCTGCAACATTACTGCCACTCCTTTTTAATTTTTTTATGTATACATGAACAATAAATTAACAAAAAGTATAAGCTAGTGTGCTTGTGTTAGGCCCTCCATCATTCTTCAACACTGCATGTTATCCAACCTCCTCACAGCCTTGTTCACAGCTTCTGGCTTTGGCGATGTGGTTTTCAAAAAGTGCTGGCAGCTGATATATACAGGCCTCCATGCAAAGTGTGATCTGAGGTCAGTATGCCAGAAAACTGAGGTGACACTAAACTGACAGAAAGCAACTTGTGTGGGTGTTAACGGTTACCTTCATTTCTCAATTGATGTGTTTGTTAAAGATTATACATTCTTGTCATTTTCAAGCTTTATTTTGAACTGTACCACATAAACAAAATGTAATATGTTAGGAAAGAAGAACACATACTAGAAACAAATATGAAGCAAGCCAAAACCTCTTAAATTAGTTTGAAAATGTGCAGATTGAAGCCAACGCTCTTACCATCTTTCCTTCAATTTTACTAATACACCATGTGCTTAAGTATATTCCTTGGGTGCATTTTCAAAATACATTATGCCAGGAATAATTAGAGGCCAATTTAAAATCTGAAGATTCAAAATCAAGTAAGAAACATAGTCATAGCTTTCTGTCTCCAGGTCTGTCTCCAGGCCTCCAGGCCTGTTTCAACAGACCTGTCTCCAGGTCTGTTGAAAAGATAAAGAAGCAGAAATATGAATTTGAAGCTAATCTATTCAAATCTAGAGAGACAGTAATGCCATCTTCACATGCTCATCACGCCTGTTATTTCCCAGGCTTCACATTGCAATTAACATCTGACTGCATTCCAGTGCTTCGCAATTCGCATGGAGGATACAGATGCTGCTAGGTTTTCATCAGTTTCCTTGACAACTTAACTAGTTTCTTTTGGCAACATGACAACAGCTAAAGAAACACGTGCGTTCATATTAAGATGAGACGTGTATTATCACGACTTTTAAAACTATAGGATCAAAGTTGTTAAAATCTCCACTTTCCTCACTTCTGTGGCAAACTGCACAGTGAGCTGAAATCATCTCGTACCTTCGATTCGTCCGGTCGGTCAGATGTTTCCTGAGTTGTCTCTTCTGCCTTTGGAGGCTGTGAGGTGGACGGCTCAGCAGTAGCTGCTCCCTCTGATGCACCGGCAGCAGCTGGCTGCTCAGACTTTGGCTTTTGATCTGGATCTTAAAAAAGAGGAAAACCACACGGAGTAATATAGATAAAAATATGAATTTTAACCTGCTTTTCAAACACTGCAGATTTTAAATATCCCATAGCCATTTTAGATAAAACAGTTTCACTGCATCTTTTTACAAACAGGACACATCAACCTCACTTAAATGTTTAGTGACTTTATGCTTTTACTTTTACCTTTTCACTGTCTTCTTTGTCTACCTGCCACTCTGACTTTTCCTTTGATTTTATTTTGAAAGGGCAAAGATGTCTTTTAGTTTGTTCTTTGTATGCAGCAGTGTTTCCCCATATCTAACTGAACACAACTGAACAGAGTCACTTTTGGATGATGTAATAACCCTGCTGGTTTGTGTTATGGTCACCATTTTAAATCCATCACTTCAGACTGATGACTCCTCACCTTATATCAGCTAAAGTACTTTGCAGTTAGGTGATTAAAACTTCAGGTGAATTTGAATTTCCAAGCAAGTTTGCTGTATTAAAGAATTTGGAAAACTTCCGCTCACACTTATTTTTAAATGTATCTAAATATTAGAGAACTGCAGCTAATTTCACACTTAGCGAAGATAAATCACAAATTTAATGTTACACTGACAAATTATTCTGCTCTAGAGGCCAGTATGAAGTGGCAGTGGGAGTGATTGGAGTGTCTGGCAATAAACATGCTCTACTAAAGGCGGGGAAGAGAGTCACATGCACACTCATATGCATGTTAATCCTCAGGGCTCATTGATTCGGTCTTGTCGAGGCCTCTCCAGGTTCCTCACAGCCCCACTTTGCTGTGCACCTCAGACTGTCAAGCAACTCCTTACTCCACACTATGACGCACAAACATATGAACTGAGTCTGAAGAACAACCTCCTTCAACCCCAAAACTGTCTCTGATTACTGATAGAAGACCATGTGCATATGTGCACTCACAATATCACAATAAATGTCAAAGCACAAGTCACTACAATATTAATCAACAGTACAACTATTAAAATAATAACTTTCTTCATCTGAATATTCACACAATTAATTACAAATTAAACATCCTTTGGATCCTTTTATGCAGCCTGATATTAACTTTTTTAATTAGAAGATGAGAATAAATTTAATCCAATTTCTTTGTCTCATGCACAGCTCCTCCTACAGGAGCTGCTCAGCTCAAGTAACCAAAGCCATGAAGCTCCCAGAGCACAGTGTTTGTGCTGATGTTAATACCAGAGGAGGTTGGGAATTCTGAAGTTAGTGAATGAGCAGAGTGTTTGTGACTTTTACACATGCACTTGATGACCCCGCTCTGTAACTTTACATCATCTATTTCCAGGTTCAAACTCTTCTTCGGTTCCTAAACAAACACTGTGACAACAATGAGATTTTATCTTCAATAAAAATGATCAGCATCACTGCTATCCCAGCTGTTACAATAAAGTTTAACATCACGGCATCCCTGAAAAAGATGATTTATGAGGTTTAATTGACTCAGAAGCAGTAAGTTAGAGTGCTGGTTTCCATCTAAAGACCTGGAAGCAGGGTCTATACTTTATCACTTGACAAGCAGATGGTATTGCTTACAGCTGATCGTGGAATATCTAGGAGGGAAGAAATTTCACAAAGAGAGTTTTTGCTGTGGAGGTACCCTATTAAAACACCAGGCTCATATTCTGTAAGCTCTTTAGAAAGATCCATTCTTTCACCCGTTTGAGCTAATAGCACAAAAAATGGGAAAAGTAAACTGAGCCTAATGCTAAAACATATTTAAAGTCATTTTCAATACAATGGAGTACAAAATACATAAAAAACAAAACCAAAAAACACAATATGGATTATAGAGGGAGATATTTTGATATTTGATTTTTACCATCATACTGAGACTACATTTTATCCCATGTGATTTAAAATATGATTATTATTTTTTTTATCTCAGTCTTTATGCAAAACTGGGCTAACACACATCACAAGCGTACCTCTCAGACAGATGCCAAAAATAACTGATATGTGTTCTGTACTGTTGCATTACAATACAAAATTACGCAATGTTATGACAGAGGATTGTAGGTAAAAAGGGCCAGAGAAATACAAGCGCTTCAACATATAAATCAGATGTTGTTGGAAATCCGGGTTATGTTTCGAAATCATGTAACAAAACTATGCATTTAGTCAAACAAAATACTGATGGCACTGGAACACACCCACAGGAAGTATGCTTTCAGGAAAGGCGTTTCATCGCACAAACAACTCACCTTCGCTGCAGCGGTGATGGGACTTGCTCTGCAGTTTGCCTGTCACCGGGACATTCATAGGCTTTACTTTGTTCTTCGCTGCAGTTAAAAGAATCATTGCTCAAACAAATCTCATGTGAAGCCTGTTCTTCTACAACCAGCTTTAACAATAACATGACCTGATAAACACACACTGACCACCATTTAGGAGTAAAGATCCAATCCAATCCAGTGCAAACGTGAGAACAGGTACAATTACTGGTACCTATGCTAAAATGTGAACCTTACTTACGACTCATTTGAAGCTGTTTATCACCACCAAGCTTTTATCTACTCTAGAGTCTGACTAAGATAAGATTTTTCAGGCCAATACAGATATCTGATTATTTACCATTCCAATGTTCCCAGTCTTTAAGGACATTTTTTTGTTTGTTTGTAATTTATTGTTTACATTCCACATGCCTTGGCTTGGTTTATGTGGTTGTTGGGTTTATACTGTTATGGAAGTTGAAGAGTGCCCTCTGGTGGAACATCAGCGCTCATAAGTCCTACCAGAAGTAACCCTTGAAACTCCTGTTTCTGTCTGTGAAGGTTCTCAGTCATCCAGGTCATCGTAGTCAAAGGAGCTTCTGTACTGTGCAATTTCTGTCAAATTTCAGGACCCCCCAAAATGACTGGGTGTGCTTCAGAAGGTAGTCAGGGTAGTCTTTGCCTATGCAGCTACCCTTGGAAAAACCTGGAAACTATTCTAAGATTGTCAAACCACGTATTTATTGATACACACTGCAGCGTCCAATAAATGTGATTTTTATTAATTGGACCCCAAAAAGTTGTTTGTGTTCATTTTCTCAGTGGGAGAAATGTTTCCTCATTCATCCAAGTGATTTCTTCAGTTTCAGCTGAATGCGGGTTTCCCCTACCTTATAAACAGTACATTTGCATAATGACTGAACCCAGCAACAATGGGCTGTGAGGTCAGTTTCTTGATCAATAATATGCAAATTGTCTAATACATAATATCAGCCAATGACACTAGTCCACAGGTAAATTAGTCATGTTCTTTACAAACAGCCAGAGTGTGCCAAAAGGTCAACGATTCTCACAGCTTTCTGACGGACACACAAACATGCAACCATCCAATGCATGCATAGCAGTCAAAAATGTGTTCTGTAATAGCAGATCAGACTGAACACAACAGCAACAACAACAACCACAAGAACAACTAGTGCAGAAACAACACAACAGCAATGATGTTTTTCACCTTACCTTTCCTCTGTACTGGCCCCTCCCCTCTAACATCACCATTAAAAGATGTTTCTGATTGGCAGACATTCACAACACACATTATCAGTCTGACTCCTTAATTACTTTTTTCTTTTTGACATCAAAGGTGAAAAATTAGCTCATTCTCCAAACCGCGACACAAAAACACCCACATATTCTTGGTATGCACATACTGTCTGTGTGAATAGGTATTGGTTAAAACAGCTGAGACCTGCTGAAGCCTGGATATGACCTCTGTGGTTTCCTGTGGTATCTGCCTAACTTAGATTGGGTTAGATGGACCTGCTGACATGATATGTCGGAGTCATCTGGAGTCATCTCCAACTCAGTGGCTAATCCATTCCTGGCCTTGAGCCCCATTGTTGTTCTAAACATTATTCTGTTCAGCGGTGAATTGTCTCGTATGTCAGGTTTGTATTAGCCAGGCTAACAGATGAGGACCAAAAGTTTAACATGCCCATGTTGAGTGACTGTGATGAGTTCCAGAAAGTTTGACTTCAAAACATAGATAAGCAACACAACTAAGCAGGAAATCTGAAGTTTGATCCACAAACAAATACACAAAAAAATTAAAGACAACAAACGCTTCAAACCAGGCAACAACTTTTTGTAACTCTTACCTCTTCTGACTTTTCTGGGGCCAGGGGTTTTAACGGCCCCTCTAAGAACTGCTTCTACGATGGAAACCACAGACATGGTTGTAACTTCAGGGCCAGAGAAAGGCGTTCAGAAGCGGAGACAGGGACTGCTGCAGAGAGGCCAAGTACAGGTTCACTAAAGAAGTGGACATTGCTAAACATCAGCACTCTGAGAAGATGCAGCAGCAGATCTCAGAGAATGACTCGGCCTCTGTGTGGAAAGGTTTTAGGAATAT